CATTTTGAACAATTCCCAGGCAACGCTAATGCCACTGGGCCAGGGACCACACTTTGAGAACCGCTGGGCTAGCACATTTTTCTTGCAGTAATATTTAACCTCAGTGAAGCTTTTCTGATCCACTCTACAAGAACGATTACCAGAAAGCAGTTGTGTGTATTTAGGGCTTTAAAGATTGTTTTTGTTAGGAGTTTGATGGGCCCGGTAGAGCTGCCCTGTTGGGTTGAGCAGGGGTTCACCCACTACAGAAACCTGGCTTTGAGGAAATATTTGGAAAGCAGCTACCAGGGCAACAGCCCTGCTTCAGAAGCTTCCAAAAGGCAGGGCAGTGCCTCCATGTGGGCAAGTTGCTTACTGCAAGTGTAAAGGGAAGTCTGAAGAGGCTGGTCCAGAGACCAAGTGGGAGTATGCCTTAAAGAATGCTTTCTCCTATTGGTCTGAGCCAAAGGGATCCTTGTTCCCTAGAACAGTGGTTCTCAGCCCTGGCTGCACTTTGGAGTCACCTGTAGATCTCATAAAAGAACACCCATGCCCAGGTCCTACCCTCAGATAGTCTGATTTAATTAGTTTGGGGAGGGCCCAGGCATTAGTATTTGTTGTTGTTTTACAAGATCCTCAGGTAATTCTAATGTGCAGTCAGATCACAGAACACTGCTTTGGAGAAAAATCTAGAAATCTAGATTGGCCTTTTCAAGTGTTAAGCTACAATCCCTTGTTTAAATGACTTTTTTTAATTGTGGTAAAATACACAAAAATTTACCATTTTCATCATTTTTTTGTTTTGTTTTGTTTTTTTGTTTTTGCAGTATGCGGGCCTCTCACTGTTGTGGCCTCTCCCGTTGCGGAGCAACAGGCTCCGGACACGCAGGCTCAGCGGCCTTGGCTCACGGGTCCAGCCGCTCCACGGCTTGTGGGATCCTCCCGGACCGGAGCACGAACCCGTGTTCCCTGCATTGGCAGGCAGACTCTCAACCTCTGCGCCACCAGGGAAGCCCCCATTTTCATCATCTTTAAATGTACAGTTCAGTAGTGTTAAGTACATTCACATTGTTGTGCAATCAATCTCCAGAACACTTCTCATCTTGCAAAATTAAAACTCTGTACCCGGGCTTCCCTGGTGGCGCAGTGGTTGAGGGTCCGCCTGCCGATGCAGGGGACACGGGTTCGTGCCCCAGTCTGGGAGGATCCCACATGCCACGGAGCAGCTGGGCCCGTGAACCATGGCCGCTGAGCCTGCGCATCCGGAGCCTGTGCTCCGCAACGGGAGAGGCCACAGCAGTGAGAGGCCCGCGTACAACAAAACAAAAAACAAAAAAAACTCCGTACCCGTTAAACAACAACTCCCCATTCCCCCTCCCTCCAACCCCTAGCAACCACCATTCTACTTTCTGTCTCTGAATTTGACTACTCCTGGTACTTCATGTAAGTGGAATCTGACAGTATTTGTCTTTTTGTGTCTGGCTTTTTTCACTTGGCATAATGTCCTCAAGATTCATCCATTTTGCAACACGTGTCATAATTTCTTTCCTTTTTAAGACTGAATAATATTCCATTGTATACATGTACCACATTTGGTTTATCCATTCATCTGTTGATGAACACTTGGGTTGCTTCCACCTTTTGGCTGTTGTGAATAAAAGCTGCTATGAACATGGGTGTACTTAAATAATATTTTTAAAAGAGAAGAGAAGTAACAGTTATAATAATAGTTAACATTGAATACTTACTATGCCCTGGTCTAAGCCTTTTACCTACATCACTTTACTCAGTTCTGCAAACCAACTCTGTAAGGTATTTACCATTATTACCTCCATTTTACAGATGCAGAAACAGACCCAGAATGGTTTGGTAACTTGCCCAAGGTATTTTCCAAAGTTCCCTCAGGATAAAAATCATTTGGAGTATTTGTTAAAAGTACCCATTGCCAGACCCCATGCTGTATCTGTGGACTCTGAGCCTCCAGCAGGAAGCCCAGAGGTATAGATTTTCCTTGTACCCCAGGATTTGCTTGTCATCATTGGGAAGTTGAGAGCATTGGGGGCCACTAAAGGGGCCTACCCTAAACAGTGTGACCACAGAGCTCTTTCATTCAGCCATGGGGCCAGACTGCCCCATTAACGCTGTGTTTTTAAGGCCTCTTATGGCCTAAGAGAGGTGAACAAATATCTCTAACAAGAGTTCTGAATTCTTTAATTTGTTGCATGCCTGAGCAGCGTGATATCAGCTGAGTGTGTTTGAAGACTCCCCTCTCTTTTACATCACATCTCCCCATTTTAAACCTAGCGTTTCCCAGAGATATAACATTCCTTCTATTGCTACCTTTTTAAAAAGAGAAACTTGGACAAATGACCTAGATGGGGACAAAAGTCTGGCGTTTCAGATTCCCAAGTTAAGAGTCAGGGTTCCCTCTGGACCAGCTTTTTGTCGCTCCAGGAGGCTGTCACCAGGACCCATCAGAGGCCTTCAGAATCCACTCAATTCATCAGCTATTTATTGAAGGGCTGCAAGGTGCCCCAGCCTCTGCTGGGTGCAGGAGGGAGAAAAATAGGAGACTTGATCTCTTATATCTCAATGGAGAGAGAGACGTACTTCCTTGTCAGGGTGACACCTGGGTCTTTCCATGTTGGGAGGGAGCAGCTCTTGGCCCCCAGTTTTTCCCCTAGTCTTAAGCATCTTTTGCCACCTTCCAAGCCTCAGGAGCTCCGAACACTTTCAAACTGCGATCATTAGTCAAAGTCTGGGGAATCTTGTCTGGAAAGAGGCGCGAGGGGGCCTCTAGGAGTGTCAGGAATATTTTCCGTCTTGATCTGCACAGTGGTTGCATGGGTGTAAATGTGTAGATTCATCGATTGTGCACTTTCCTGGGTGTATGTTATACCTCATTAAAAATAAAAATAAAAAAGAAGGCAGCTTTATGTGTATTGTTACACAATGGCTTCTGAAACATATTGTTAAAAAAAAAACTGCTAAGCAATACGTATGCTGCCATTGGTTTGTGGTTTTTTTTATTTTTTATTATTTTTTTTTGCGGTATGCAAGCCTCTCACTGTTGTGGCCTCTCCCATTGTGGAGCACAGGCTCCAGATGCACAGGCTCAGAGGCCATGGCTCACGGGCCTAGCTGCTTCGCAGCATGTGGGATCTTCCCGGACCGGGGCACGAACCCATGTCCCCTGCATCGGCAGGCGGACTCTCAACCACTGCACCACCAGGGAAGTGCTGCCATTGGTATTTTTTAAAAGAGTATAGGAAAGTACCTTTTACCACATCTTTTATGTCATTTGAATTTTGTGCCATGTGCATGAATAACCAACTCAAAAAAAAAACATTTAATGCAGATTCCTGGGCCTGGCCACCATCTTACTGAATAAGCTTCTTTAGGGGTGAAGCCCAGGAATGC